AAAATTACCATTAAACACTTGTGTTATACTATTTAAAATATACATAAGGGGTATTTTAGTATTTAAATATATATCGAGCCGCTCGACGAGCCGCTCGACAATACAAATATGGGCTCGAGCTCGAGTCGAGCTTTGACTCGAGCGAGCCGCTCGACTCGTTTGCAGCGCTAGTTTCAACTCAATTAGGCATCATCCACCCAACAGACTAGGGTGGACTCCAGCCCTGTCTTAGTTTTTTCGGTTATGTTAGCTGTATACTGATAAAAAAATATTTTAGCCCACGTCACATTATATTAGTCCAATATTAATCTTATTTTGACCCAAAATAAATTAAACTTGTTTACATTAAATCAATGAATTATATATTTAAACATGAATTAAGTTTCTTTCTACTTTTCTTTTTATATTATTATGCCTCTTTTATGTCATTTTTGTGTTTACTTTTTATTATTTGATTAAATAGATTTTATTTGAGTAAGTTTGTTCGAGGCAGTATTTGATTGTGTTACTTTCATTAGAATATTTAGTAAGCAACTGAATTTGTAGATTTTACAAATCAAGTTTATATATTCACTAAATTTTTAAATAAATGATGGTTGATTATATGAAATTTACTACTAAATCTCATTCGTATATCTGACAAATTCAATGAATTGGCATATGACATTTTAACAAGAATGGGGGACTATTACGCTGTTTTATAGTAGTTATTTGAATAAATTATGTTTAGTTTTAAAATTCAAGTACATGAGAAAAATAATCTATGTACATTTTTATGATCAATCAGAATTTTTTTTTATTTTTTATTTTGGGAAATCGAAGTTAATATTGTGGATTTGGGATAGTAATTGAGTATAATAGATTCAGTTTTCTGATTTACAGAGATATTATTCTTCTGGAAAATAATAAGAATAAGAATGATCCAAAAGATTATTCCATGAAAGAAAACAAAAAGGCTGTCAAGAGAGTGTTAGTAATAACCAGCGTGAGCGTGCTGTTCTTTTTCATTCATTTACTTTATATGATTATGATAGTTCTATTATATACAGTTATATTATATTATTATAATTATTAGAGATGCCCTTAAGTTATACTATATATTATCGTTTTGGGGGCAGTTTGTCGTGTCCTCTAGTGGAGTGTCCACGTGGAATTAAAGGGGCAAAATTTTTTAGATTTTTTTTTTTTCATTAAAGTGATTTATATCTAGAAATTAAATATAACAATTTTGATGGCGCTTTTAGTATATTAACTTACAAATTGATAGTTTTTAATGAATTTCAAAACTCCGTGTTACCAATTTTGATAATACATATATGAGTGTCAAATCTTCTATTAATTAATGTATAAAGACACAATGATATTTACTTAAAATGGTAGTTAAATATCAATAAAAAAACATTTGATTTCCCGCATAAAAATTCAAATTTTCTAAATTAGATAATTTTTTTAGCCAAAATTTAAAGAATCGCGCTTAAATTAATGTAATTAATGTATATATAATCATTCGGTCAAATATATGGCTATTACCTTTATTAGTTGCATGATTTAAATTCATAACATATTGACAAAACTTGCGGCTATTATCTTTATTAATTGCATGGTTTAAATTTGGTATATAATATATTGAAAAAAAATAAGAAGATTTTTATTCAAAATTGAAAATAAAAAAAATAATTATTTATAACTTACGAGTCAATATTAACTTGAACGTAAACAAAATAGTCAATTATTTATAGTTTAGTAAATCAATCAATAACTTACGGGTCAATATTAACTTGGACGTAAACGAAATAGTCAATTATTTATAGTATAATAAATTACTCAACTACTTAATCTTTTTAATTTGAATAGTTTATGCAAAAATAATTTTGTTTAAGTAATGAAACAATATAATAAATTTATAGTTATACTTATTATTCACATATGTTGTTAAAAATATGAAAAAATTTACCAAATTAACTATTTTATGAAATCACATTATGGT